TGATCAAACCATAACAAGGTGGCTCACAAGCAAATCTGCAAGATCACTCAACTTAAATTCTGGAATTCATATCAAGTTGTCAAACTGTGGGATAAAATTCTACCTCATGATGCATTTAGAATTATTTAGTAAATTAAAGTATGCAAAAAACCACTTCTCAGGATGCAATTGGTTTCAAGCCGTTAGATGTTCCAGAACTCGTTCCTTTCCAACAACAACAAGAAAGACATAAGTTACTGAAGGTGCAGAAGCTTTGCTGAGCGCATAATAACTCATGACGAAGTTCTTGCTAGAATTAAATATAACAACAAAAAATACAAGGCTGCTGAAAATCAATATTGGTGATTCAAAGAGTTTGATGGAGGTGATCAAGTTCTAGTAGAAGTGAGAAAAATCAACAAAGGAAAACCAAACTCCCAATACAAGGTTTATGGTAGAGCTACTAGATGATCTCCACAATACTAGATGTCGCAGATTTTTTTCACTTTCATGTTTTGGCTGCATTTGATCCAATAAAAACCTAAAGATCGAAGAGAGCTGATCAGAAGAACTAAAGAAATAAATGGGAGGGACAGATGCAATTTTTATGAACAAGATTTGAAACCATGAGGTAGCTGATAACCATTTTGGTTAATTCTAATCCTAGACTCCTGAAAAATCGTTAGTTCTCTCCTTCCATTATTTGGGACAGGATGATTTTGTGGATTCCCTGTTGGCCAAAATACATGGGTACTTTTAAGCATGTCCTTTTGACTTTGTTATAAAGGGATTAAGTGCAGCTTTTCATTAACTCTTTGTTGTATGTTGTTTCATTTTTCATTTTCTTCGTGTGGTGGTTTTGGAGGATATCACATGCTCTACATTTTAACCTTTCTCTTCTCTCTATCTAATAATACTTCTTTTTTCATTAACAAAAGCATTTTGGTTAATGGTTACTCAGTAATATTTTACTGAAATTTTATATGTTCAATAGCAGCACCAAATTAAATTAACAGAATAAGCACACATAAGCAGTTTATTTAGCTTTCTACAAGATGCAGTTGCATTTTTCAAAAATAGTTTAATGATTTTAAACCAAGGTTCAGAAGCAATCTATCAATGCTTTTAAGAAAGAAATCAAATCTTCAGGAGAAATCAACCATATTTGCCCAAAAAATTTACAAGCAACAAACAAACTGTCCTGCAAGATTCAAGTTCTCTAAGCTTGCTAAAACTGAAGCACACGATAAATTATAAATTTCCTAAAACCAATATGAATCTGTCCATCCATGTACAGTTAATAGTAATAATAATAATAATGATAATAATGATAACAATAATAATAATAATAATAAAACAGGTCTTGCCATAAAAAACTTATGTCCTCTAAAGGGCTTTTCCTATCATCTAGGATTCTTCACAAGAATCACTGTTTACTTTAACGAACCTCTATTACTGACCTCCTTTCTAAGTTAAAAACAACCAAATTAATTGCTAGAAGAATTGCAGTTACGAGATTTTCTGATATTGAATACTTGAAGCCCCAAAAAGTATGACCTCCCGTTACCTGTACTAGCATATTGACAACTAGGGGAGGTCAGTCAACCACATCACACTGACAAAAAGAATATATCTATGTAATTTATTCGAGAGCATTTAATTCTAAGGCTCCATAATCATTAAGAGCCTCCGAAAAGTCAGACTTTATTCGACATCTGTCAAATGCAAATAAACGTGGATGAGAAATCATTCATGACGAACAGAATGAGCTTACAGGATGCCTAAAACCACAGGTCGGATTAAGACAGTTCCCAGCCAACCAGTACCAGCAATCCCTTGGGTTCAGCCTTGCTATCTCACTATGTCGATACTCACACTCAAGCCCCTGAAAATGGAAAGCAGAAAGATTACTTCTCAAGTTAAACAAATCTACAAAAGTAAAAAAAAAAAAAAACAAAGTCACCTCGCAAAGCACAAAGCCAACCCCTCGAAAAACAAGTGCGCCAGCAAAATAACTTGGATGAATTAATTAAAGACCAACTCAGATCAGGCATGAAAAAGTTCTCATTCCAATTCCAAAAAATGAAGCAACCAACATAGCCAGTGGCAAACAACAATTCTTCAGAAAAAAAAAAGGTCTAGGTATGGAAGAAGATATGTAATTTTACCCAAAAGCGAGACTACCCAAAGTATTTTCAGTAACTAAGTTTGATTTTAGTTCGAAGATTTCCACGCTTCTCTCGGAGACGAAATGAAGCTAACTAAACTACAAACACCGAATTGCAAAAATTCAACGAAAATGAACATTCACCGATAAATACAAAAATTAGCAGAGATTCTAGATCGTGGTCGTATAAACTAACCCTAGAACTAAAGATCCTCAATATAAGGTCACCGCGAAACAGTCTCCAGGTTAAAAAAATCCATAAAAATTTCACAATGTTAGCAACAGCAGACACAATCAGAAGAATAGATACGAAAGAAATGATGTACGAAGAAGGGGATTCATCATTTTCCAGCAAATAACCTTCTTGCAGGTGAGAGGAGAGGCCAAGAAGTAGACACAATCGGTATTCCTCTTCTGCACCTCCTCGTCCATGTTATCTTTCTCGGGAAAGAAGAGCGAGAAAAGAAGGGTAAAGTCTCGCGGAGTTTGAGAGATAGATCAAAACAAGTCCATCAACTGGTTCCAGCTCGAGCTTTACCCGGCTCACAGATCTTAGCGCAGAGAGAGAGAGAGAGAGAGAGTGGAATGTGGCTTGGGTTTAAAGACGGGTGGTTTTGGTTTTGTAATTCTGGAGGGTTTTTGGAATTTGGGGATTGGCTTCTTGGGGTTACGTCTGTAATATGTTACATGTACTCTCTCCTCCTCCTCCTCCTCCCAATTTGTAATGCTAACTTTTCCCCATTTTCTGCATTTTTAAAATAATAATAAATTTCACATAATATAATTCTTTTAGTACTTATTAATTTTAAATTTTGATTAATTAATTAACAATCAAATTTTGTAGTACTAAAAAAATACTTGAATTATATAAATATTAAATTGATAAAATTATATATCTGAGTTAATCAAAACATATGGCTGCATTATATTTTTTGGATACTCCTAATTTGTATATATATTGAGTTAAAGTCCATATATATATATATATTGAATTATATTTGACATATAACAAAAAAATATATATATGATGAAAAATTTTGGCTGGGAAGTTGATTGAACACAAACAAAGAGGATATAATTGAGGTGGAATGATTCCAATTTGCATGATTATAATAATAGTAACTTCTTGTTCGTATTTAATATAAAGTTTATTACGAACGACAGTAAATTTATAATAATTGTTTCGTTATGATTAAAAATTTAATTAATTAGTATGTTAATAGAATAACAATGATTGAATTAAAATTAAATTTTAGTAAATTTATTATATTTTTAAATAAAAAAATATTTTATAATTATTAAATTGTTTTAATTTAAATAATTATAATGGGTTAAAAATTTTATTTAATTTTGTATTTATTATAAAAAAAAATGAGAAGCCAATTTTTCCAACAAAATTTCTATTTATATATATATAGATATATTAAATTACATTACAATTTTTTTTCCTGTTATTACTGCAAATTTAGCACTAGAGTTTGTATCTTCACTTCTCTACTATTTCTTTAATTATTATGTAAATCATAAATTTAATTTATTAAGGGGGGTAAAAAAAAAAGAAGATCCCAAGTAGTTGGCATTCTTGAACAAATAGAACCTACAAGATCCAGTTGTTTAGAAGTTTTTCTTTTTTCTTCTCCTGGTAAAATCATTACACAGAAGTCACTTCCATGTGGAAAGGCATGGTAGGAGAAACTAATAAAATTGGCAATGTATAAATTCTGAGGATCCAACAATGGTGTTCTAATTTTCCATGTTCTTTTCAGGAAAAAGATATTTATTACATCAAATTTGAGTCGAAAACATAGAAAATGACTGCTTAAGATGCTCAAATGCCTAAGCCTATCAAAATTTGTAAACCATCGACTCGTTGTATCCCAGTTCTCTGAGTATGCCAGTGAGCTGCAACATAGCAAGCCAAAAAGAAAAATACGATTAGATTCCGCGTGAAAATGAAAATTAATAATGGATCTAAAATCTGGTAAATTAGATAGGAGTTCTTAATATTCAGGCACAACTCCGGATAAGCTACTTGTTTATACAATACATGCAATTCTCTTTTAGATTCTTATTTTTATTCTTCTTTACCATATAAGCTAAAAGTTTTATATTAATTTATTTTTAAGTGTTTTTAGAATTGTTTATTATTGTTTTCTATTATTTCAGAGGTATGTTACTCACACATGATACAGTGTCGGTTATATGTTAAAATACTAACTAAACTTAGATTGGAAATATGTTCGTTAACTATAGGTTGCTTTCTTAAATAATAATAGTAATAATAAATTCAGTTATAATTATACCAAAATGAAAGATCTTCTGTATAATTTGTCGTCAAATCATTTAACAGCTTAAATGGTAAGGCGTAAACTGCCACGTCATACCTCTCCCTGTGAGCGGTCTTTTGCCTTGTCTCCGGATATATGTTTCATCATCCCAGGGGGGCCGCATACCTGAACAATAGGATACACTCTTATTCCTGATAAACTGCCCAAGCTAGTTACAAAATAGATGATAAATTTGCACAAGATTGTCCTCTAATGATTCATTTTTGTGGTCACAGCTATATCCATGACCTGTTTGGCCTGAATCTCTTTAACAGTTAAACTTAACACTCCACCATTCAACCACATTACATTTCATCTCACAAGGTCAGGGAAATGGAGAGAAAAAGATGGAGTCAGCCTTGACAAATAAAATGAGACAACCTAATCCTAGCAGATGGTTTGGGTTTATTATAACCCGCGCTTGTCTAGCTTCTGGTTATAAAAAAACTTGACTAGTTGTGTAGGCCTTCTATTAATTTTGAATGAGAGTTATTAAACCAAAGCAAGATTAGTTTAATACCAGGTTGCTAAGCAAAAAGGCAGAGGACGATGAAAAGCGACAATATGCACCACTTACTAGGATAAGAGTATCCTCCCCAGGCGCAGGTAGGCCTTTCACAACCATATCCTTTGATATGAAGCCTACACCTCCTTTCCATTTTTTGGTTGGATTGTCTACAGTGTAAAATATCTGCAGTTTAAGAGGCCAAGATTAAAAGAAAAGTTAGCTATTGAGAAGTAGAAAATCTAATTTTGGCTAAACAAGCACATATTGCTTGCTTTCTATTCTCTGTTAAACTAAAACATCCTTGG